AAGTATTCAGACCCCCTTAAATGTTTCACTCTTTGTTATATTGCAGCCATTTGCTAAAATCATTTAAGTAAATTTTTTTTCCCTCATTAATGTACACACAGCACCCCATATTGACAGAAAAACACAGAATTGTTGACATTTTTGCAGATTTATTAAAAAAGAAAAACTGAAATATCACATGGTCCTAAGTATTCAGACCCTTTGCTGTGACACTCATATATTTAACTCAGGTGCTGTCCATTTCTTCTGATCATCCTTGAGATGGTTCTACACCTTCATTTGAGTCCAGCTGTGTTTGATTATACAGATTGGACTTGATTAGGAAAGCCACACACCTGTCTATATAAGACCTTACAGCTCACAGTGCAAGTCTGAGCAAATGAGAATCATGAGGTCAAAGGAACTGCCTGAAGAGCTCAGAGACAGAATTGTGGCAAAGCACAGATCTGGCCAAGGTTACAAAAAAAATTCTGCTGCACTTAAGGTTCCCAAGAGCACAGTGGCCTCCATTCCTTAAATGGAAGACGTTTGGGACCACCAGAACCCTTCCTAGAGCTGGCCGTCCGGCCAAACCGAGCTATCGGGGGAGAAGAGCCTTGGTGAGAGAGGTAAAGAAGAACCCAAAGATCACTGTGGCTGAGCTCCAGAGATGCAGTCGGGAGATGGGAGAAAGTTGTAGAAAGTCAACCATCACTGCAGCCCTCCACCAGTCGGGGCTTTATGGCAGAGTGGCCCGACGGAAGCCTCTCCTCAGTGCAAGACACATGAAAAAACACCTGAAGGACTCCAAGATGGTGAGAAATAAGATTCTCTGGTCGGATGAGGCCAAGATAGAACTTTTTGGCCTTAATTCTAAGCAGTATGTGTAGAGAAAACCAGGCACTGCTCATCACCTGTCCAATACAGTCCCAACAGTGAAGCATGGTGGTGGCAGCATCATGCTGTGGGGGTGTTTTTCAGCTGCAGGGACAGGACGACTGGTTGCAATCAAGGGAAAGATGAATGCGGCCAAGTACAGGGATATCCTAAACGAAAACCTTCTCCAGAGTGCTCAGGACCTCAGACTGGGCCAAAGGTTTACCTTCCAACAAGACAATGACCCTAAGCACACAGCTAAAATAACGAAGGAGTGGCTTCACAACAACTCTGTGACTGTTCTTGAATGGCCCAGCCAGAGCCCTGACTTAAACCCAAATGAGCATCTCTGGAGAGACCTAAAAATGGCTGTCCACCAACGTTTACCATCCAACCTGACAGAACTGGAGAGGATCTGCAAGGAAGAATGGCAGAGGATCCCCAAATCCAGGTGTGAAAAACTTATTGCATCTTTCCCAAAAAGACTCATAGCTGTATTAGATCAAAAGGGTGCTTCTACGAAATACTGAGCAAAGGGTCTGAATACTTAAGACCATGTGATATTTCAGTTTTTCTTTAATAAATCTGCAAAAATGTCAACAATGCTGTGTTTTTCTGTCAATATGGGGTGCTGTGTGTACATTAATGAGGAAAAAAAAATAACTTAAATGATTTTAGCAAATGACTGCAATATAACAAAGAGTGAAAAATTTAAGGGGGTCTGAATACTTTCCGTACCCACTGTATATAACATGGATAAAAAAATTAATAAATATAAAAATGTATTTATTAAAATAAAATGGATTAAAAACCTAGCGTGGTGGACTAGGATGCTGATTGCATCATCTCATTCATCCTAAAATGCACCAAACATTTGCACTTTCGCTAAACGTCTGTTTAAAACAGGGGGAAAAAATATTTTCACCACCCACTTTCCAAAACCATCTCATTTAATGTGCAGAAAAAAATAAAAGGCATTTCATGGGGCACTAATTTATGATGGCTAATAATGCTGTCTAGTTAGGCAGCTCACTAGGTTTTGGAACAGTGCTTAAAAAATGTAAAATGTTAGTAAATTTAGCAAAAGGACCCATATTACAGTCACACATGAGTGAACTGAACTCAACTGGATCTGACAGATGATGGAGGGCTGTTTTACACACACACACACACACACACGTCCTTCCTCCATGTCATTGTGTGCCACTATGAGGGGTGAGAGGAACACGCCTCATTCAAGGTCCCGGGGCAAAACAAGCACACTTACACACACACACACACACACACACACACACACACACTACAGGCTCAAACACCTGCCAAACACACTCAGGCCAGCATTCATAATCACTCACACACACACACACACACACACACACACACACGTGCGGCACACTTCCAAGCGCAGGAAAGCAATCAGTCAAAAGTAATCCATATATCAGGGTCATGGAATTCAGCGCACGTACCAACAACACACATGAATACAATCAGAACAGAAGTAATAACCACACAAATATCAATCTGCATTTGACCTTAATATCACTATGCCAACAGCAACCACAACTCCAAACGCTAACAATAGACTCTTTCCATTAATTATCATACATAAGTATGCAAACATATGGATGCAGAAGTGTCCGACCTACATTTTGTTTACAGTTCCCAAAACTGTACATACATGCAGTCTTCCTGAAAAAACACTGATCGTTTTACAGAAGAATTACACACGAATACATCAAAAGAGTAAACCAGCTACCATCATCTAGGCCTAGCTGTTTACGTCATCTAGTGTTATTCTTCTATGATAGATATACATTAGTAAAACGAACAAGAAACTCTCTAGATCAATGATTTGCACTGCAATTCAGTTAAACTCACACTTCCAAACGTCTCAGTCACTCTGAAGCTAAACACTTCATGATTAAAGTTTACAGACAATCATAAGTGATGCATGAAATATATATATTTCACACATCAGTCTGGACAAATAATAGCATTTTTAAATCAGTTTATCAGACACAAATAATATTTTTTTCTAATTTAAACAGTTGACTCTTTTCTATACCAGATTACAAAAGTATTAAGCTATTATACATCTTCACAATATATTCGCTCAATTTCAATGTCAACTTTAAATGTTTAAATTTTTTAAGATAGATTTCAGTGAGAATTTATTAAAAAAATTGATTAATTAATAAATAACTGTGTGCAACAGTGTATAGATTAATAATATCGGTAATCTGTTTCAGTTATCAGACATAAAAAACTAGTTATCGGTATCAGAATCAGTATCGGTAAATAATCTGTACCAGGAAACTATATTAAAGATAAAAACAGGATTTCTATATTAAAGCAATCCAAAATATGCAAAAAACAATTAGGGACACACAAAATATATCAGGTTTTGAAAGTTCTAAACAGTTAACCAGATTATTTTATTTGACCTTTTTTTTTTTTTTTTTTTTTACAATATACTATTATTTATTTTTTTAGAAAAGTTTTGGTGTCAGAGTTAAGCAACTAAAATGTGAAATTAGCTCATCAGAGTAAAAGCATTCTATATACATTTCACAACAAATTATAAAGATTTATAATATTTGCAATAAAAAAGTAGCACAGATATATTATAAAATGCACATATACCTGTATACATGAACATTTATTCAGACACCTTCAACATTTCACACATTATCACAGTTTATTCGCTGTAGTTTAGAAAATGATAATAAAACATGAAAAGAACTCAGAGTTAAACAGTGTCCGAACAAATTAATCTTGTTAATGTCAGATAATACTTAAGAAAAATATGGTCACGTCAAAGTGTCTGAATAATTTTTGGTCCCACATTTTTTTATCAGTTTTACTGGTAGTCCACTGTATGATGAATTTTTGGGTATAATATGTCACAGTTTACATTATTTTGCAATCCTCACTTGCATAAATGAACTATAGTGTCCTGCACACACTAGTAAAAAAATATCAAAAATTATATCTGGTGTCTGAATCATTTTTGGTTTGACTGTATATTATATATGCCTTTTATTATTATTATACAGTATTTTATAGTAAAACATTTTGTTGCAAATATTACACTTTGCATAAGGTAAAATGACTGTGGGTATTAGATGAAATGTCTGTATTAGGGATGCACCGATACCGCTACTGGTATCGGGCCCGATACTGAGCTCCTGTACTTGTACTCGTACTCGTTAAAATGCCCCGATACCAAACACCGATACCACACAGCATGTGATAAGTGCATTTCACTTTTTAGTAAAAGTATTTTACCATTTCAGCAGTGTTTTCCTTCTGCTGCCAATATTCAAATAAAAATCGAAAATTAAATTAAATTAAATTAAATTAAAGTAAATTAAATTTTCCCTTTCAGACACGAGCAGAACTCGTTACAGCGTGTAGAAACTGAAGCCTCTCGCTCCGTCACTGCAAACACACACACACACACACACACACACACAGAGAGAGAGCAGCAGGAAAAGCTCTTACCGTGGTACAATCCTTCCATTAAAGACGAGGAATCCTAGTCCACCACGAGTGCTTTGTAGTATCCGTAAAACACACTTCCACACACGCGCGAGTTAAAACGCAGCGGTCCGGCACACAGGCATAGTAGTGCGAGAAAAACTGGATCCGGCATGCAGAAGAGCGTTGGCGGTCTAAGCGTGTGCAGAACGGACGGGGGCCTTTGTCTCTCACTCTCAGCTCAAGAGAAAAGATGAGAGGAGACGCTCGAGGGGGAGGGAGAGAGACAGAGAGAGAGAGAGAGAGAGAGAGAGGAACGCGGCTCTGGTAACCGACGGTAACGGTGAGATCAGCACATCTCCACCCCCCTCATCCCCTGCGAGACAACGAAAAAATGAGAAAAGCACAGCAGACTGCAGCTAGAGATGAGACGCTGGGCTTCACACACACACAAATGAACTTTCCGTAAGCTCTGCATTCACATTTTTCTCACCTCATGTCATTCTAACCACGTATTGTTTCTTTCTTGAATATCAAAATGCAATGCAATGAAAGCGATGGTTATTTATACTGTCAAGATTCAAAAATACATCAGCACAAACATGGTCTCCTGAACCCCTGAGAGATATTTTACCCCTTTTTACCCCTGCCACAGTTAAAAAAACAACACATTTAGATTGTAGATGTGTTGCACCAGGTTTGATGTCACTGACACTAAAATACAAGAATGCAAATGAGATTTGAGAGTACAACTAAAAGATTTGGGGAAAAATACACAATTGCAATTTTTTGCAATTGTGTATATGAAGCGCTCATTTGCAAAAACAGATAACTCAGTTTTTTTAATTTTCAAAAATCATTTTTTTTTATGTTATCATGTTTTATTGTGTTAGTTAGCTAGTATTTATTAGTTATTTTTTACCTAATCAAAATAACCCAGCTGCAGTTTGATTGAGATTAATTGGAACGCACAATGAAAAAACATGATTTTTGAAAATTTCAAAGTTATTATCGAGTTATCTGTTTTTGCAAATGAACTCTTCATATAGCCTATACATACACAAATGCAATTAATAATAATAAATCAATAATTTGACCAAAAAAAAGATCATATATAGTAATTATAATAATTATTATTATTATTAAATAAAACAGACTGAAATTGATTAAAATTGGTAATAAGTTATGACAAAATATTTCGTAACACAATAAACATTCCCTGAAATAAAATAAAATAAAAAACTTTAACTTGATTTCAGCTACTGTACTTGCCAAGGAAACACTTCTTCTTTTCATTTATATTAACTTGATGTACTACAATAACTGAAAATATAACTGAAAAATAAAAAGTATAAAAACTATAGACATATTAAAAAAAATTTTAAACGACATAAATACACAACAAAATAACTAAAACTTAAAATAAAAGAAAACACATCAAATAAAAACAAATTCAAATGATTAAAAAAAAACTAGAATAGTATCTCGATGACACAAAATGTCAACTTTACATTTTTACAATTTTTTAAGATAGATTTCAGTGAGAATTTATACTTTTTTTTATTAATTAATAAATAAAAGTGTGCAACAGTGTATAGATTAGTAATATCGGTAATCCGTTTCAGTTATCAGACATAAAAAGCTAGTTATCGGTATCAGAATTCACTCTTATTAAGTGAAAATATTAAAATATAAAAAAAAATATTAATAAAAAATATTAAATAAAATAAGATATATATTACTACTGTAATAAGACTACTATAATTTAAAATAAAATAAAATGATGAATAAAATAATTTTATTTTACAAGTGTAAAATGGCAGTAGTAATATTTATAAGACTGTTGTCATAAGCTGCATGTGTGTAATTAAACACTGAAACATGCATTTATTTAAATAAATCCCAGCCTTTTGCTATTTATCATGGTTTTAATTTTATTTCGCTTAACCGAAAAATTGGTGCAAGATTTGTGCAAAATTCATGAAGAAACAAATCCAAACAATCACACAAGAAATATTAAGCGTGTCAGATAAAAAAATAGGCCAAGCACATCCAATAACAGCTGAACTTTATGCTTTTGGCTGTATAAATATGTAACAGTTCATTACATAAAGCCATCCATCATCTGAAAAAGTCTATTTTGTCCTTTCCAAAACCAAAATTCAACTTCCAGAAGTCAGATGTTCTCCTGAAGGAGGATCTTCTCACAGAATCGCGTCTGACGCTTCAAGAGCACCGCAAACACGATGTGTGAAATCAGATGCATGCGTTTGGCTTGCTCTGCTGCAGCTCACGCATTCAAACTGATCAAAAACAAACGGAAAACGTCAGATTTTGCTCTCTTGCTCTCCGACTGTGTGTCTTTGATATTCTGACATCTGTCATCAAGATGAGCTTCTTTACTCGCATCAGATCCACTCCCAGAAGACATGCTGTACAAAAGTCCTCGGCAGCAGAAAGTGTATTTCACAGCTGCTACGGGTTTCTTCACGTCTCGGATTCTGCTTGGGTTTAACTGTGAAATAATCCAATCATCCGCTTCCCTCGCCAACACAATCTGATCAGAATCATTCAATCCACTGCAGAGTCACTCATGCACCACAACAGGATAAAATATCAACCGAATAGTTAATAACAGTCATCCCAGGGGCGTCTAAAGAGAGTTTATGAAATTTCATAAAGCAATATCTGTTTTAACACATTTAACTTGGTACGGATAAATGCCAATAAAGATACACAAATCAAAACTGTCCTGTCTTGAAGATCATATCTTAGATGAGTCTTATGACCATAATCTTATATTATACACAGTATAATTAATTTGACATCACTGCATGCTGCTGTATATATGAACATGCAATTATTTTTCACTGGAAATTTGCTGCACAAATGTTTTCATTTTTTTTTTCTCTTTTTATCAAAAAAAATAAATCTTTCAACAATGAAATATTAACCAAATATCATATTGAGATGATGTATCAGTATCAATATATAATTATTATCATTATTAAATAAAAAAATATTAAACAATAAACATAAAAAAAAATAATTATGTTAAAAAAAATTAAAAATGACTGTCTGATAATCTAGTGAATTAAATATTTGTACAAATTGAAGGTACTTCATCTCATGTAATTTTTATACAAATGTATATTATAAATATTATACATATAATAAAAAAATTACATATGTACTTTCTATATTTCTAAATTATTTTTATATTTATTATATATTTTACATGAAATATTTATTATTTGAATAAGTAAATTAAAATTTTAATTAAAGTATTAAAATTATAATAACTACTGAAATATATTAAAACAAGCATTACAAATAAATAAAAAAAAAAGAAAAAAATGGATACTATAAATATATAGTATTATATTAAATAATATGTACACACGCACATGCAGGCTTTTCTCCTTTAAAAAGACAGACAGCCGCATTTCTCTCCTGTTTTACTCTCAGACAAACGTCTTGTTTATTATCATTAGTCTGCGTGACTATAATGAGCCGTGTTTCCCTCATGTTCTCGTGAAAGTGGATTCTCTCTTAGACATTCAGGCCGGCGTTTGGCCTTGCTCTTGTGAGAAAGACGAGACTGATTCTCATGCTCAAGGTCGTACGAGTGTCTCTTCCTTCATGTAACGTCAAAACAGCTCAGAATTTCTTTCAGGAACCTGCGATGACCGGCAAACGCACACATACGATTAAAAACCCGGGCAGCGTCTGTCTTTCTTAACCTTCCTGACACACACTTTCAGCCTGCTATCAGCTTCTTCCCTTCGGGACAGAAGACTGCAGACGCATGCAAACGAGAGAGAGAGAGAGAGAGAGAGAGAGAGAGAGAGAGAGGAAGCATATCTGTGCAGGTACAGCAGCGTAACTGTCCTCGTGAGCCACACATCTCTGACGGGACGGTTACCCGCAGGCCTTCAGCACACACTGCTGATAGAGGTGAAGTGATAGTGTTCAGGAGAAATAACGGGAAACAAAATATGAATGGTAAAAATAATCTGAATTTAAAAATAATTTACTACATTTTTTTCCACTACATTATAATTTTTTTTTTTTTACATTTTAAGTGTTAAAAAAACTTTGATATGAAAAAAATATTTTAAAAGGTTTTATATGTATATGTGTATATATATATATATATATATATATATATATATACACATATACAGATAACAATGTTACTAAATTATGAATGTTTTAATGATTCATTTGAATTAACTTTATTAGATGATGATAAACAATCTGTATTTTAAAAAACTAACTTAATTCTATACTGTCGAAAAAATACTAAAAATTTAATTATTTTAAATGCTTAAAGGGATAGTTCACCCAAAAATGAAAATTTGATGTTTTGTGACTTTGTTTCTTCAGTAGAACACATTTGATGATTTTTTACTTTAACCGTTGCAGTCTGTCAGTCGTATAATGCATGGCAATGGTAACAAAATCTATGAGAGTAAAAAAAACATGCACAGACAAATCCAAATTAAACCCTGTGGCTTGTGACGACACATTGATGTCCCAACACATGAAACGATCGGTTTGTGCGAGAAACCAAACCGTATTTATATAATTTTTTACCTCTAATACACCACTATGTCCAACTGTCTTTGGGCGCGCGCACGGCATCCGGTGCGTGAGTTGTGTACGCGCTCTTGCGTAGTTTACGTTAATGGCTGTGTTTCGTGTTCCGTGTCTTAGGACATCAATAGGGCCTTTCGCAACGCGGGAACCTTTTCATAGTACCAGAACTAATTGTGGAACTACCCCCTTTTCGGTGTGTTCGCATCGCCGGAACTGGGTGCAATTTTAGTACCGGACTGCCTTTTTCAAGAACCAAATTAGCTCCTACTCCAGAGCAGGGTCTAACCAGCACAACTGGTACTAATCGTGACTAAGTAGACATTGAT